ATATTAGGGCTTATATATATATTATATATAAGCCCAGAAAATAGAAATATTTTAGCGAATTTAATTGTGAGAACATATTTCTTTTTTACATTCAGATCTAAATTCCTTTAAAAAGTTCAGATCTTGACCATCTAAGTCTTTCATTTTACTTTCAGATTTGATATTTTAGATTCAGTATTCTAACTTGGGGAATCGAATCCTAGCATCTGCATGAAATTATTTTATTCCCGATGACTAAGTAAAATGATACATAGAACTAAAGAATAATAGAACAATAAAACAAGGAAGAGAGAAATAGAGTAATCGCACTAGTAATTTTCAAGCAAATTTTTTTCAAAAGTGGGTCGCTATTCCTCACCATTATTCTAAGAAACGAACCGTCGTAAGGTATTTTAGTATTACACCAAGTTTCATCCTAAAGTGAATTTCTCAATTCGTGCCCTCTTCTTTTCACATAAACATGTAAACCTATTCTTATCTATTCATTTTTAAAATCATGAAAGCTAATTTTGATTGAAAATATTATCATATTCGACTTCATCTCATAGACATTGCAATCGAGCCTATTTGTCCTTGCTGTGATTCTGGAGAAGTAATCGGAAGGGACCAAGAATGTTTTGAGATAATGGGGAGCAAGAGTGCTTCTTGTACGATTATTCTATTTCTCTCTTCTTTGTTTTATTGTTCTATTTTTTATTATTCTTTAGTTCTATGTATCATTTTACTTAGTCATCGGGAATAAAATAATTTCATGCAGATGCTAGGATTCGATTCCCCAAGTTAACATACTGAATCTAAAATATCAAATCTGAAAGTAAAATGAAAGACTTAGAGGGTCAAGATCTGAACTTTTCAATGGAATTTAGATCTGAATGTAAAAAAGAAATATGTTCTCTCACAATTAAGTTCGCTAAAATATTTCTATTTTCTGGGCTTTAAATTTTTACGCAAAACTTCCTTTGTGATCTAAACTCCATTAAAAGCAATGTTATTTTTCGAATAAAAATTATAAAGATTAAAATCAGTTACAAGTGTAAATGAACTTTGCGTGTAAAAAAAGAAAGAATTTCATAAGCAATCGTTAATTAGTATCTACTATTTTGAACTAAAAGCGTAAAATGAAATATTTTAGTTAGGAGTTTTTACTTTTTAAATATATACTCACTAGTTCAATTAAAGTTTGTTCATCTTCAATGGAATCTAAATCTAATTCTTCTTCTTCATCATATTCTGGATTAGCCATCGCAAGTTACAAGTAGTACCCTAGAAATTTTAAAAGAAAAAGAGGTATCATTACAAAAAAAGGGAAAATAGAAGAATTCATTCATCACAATGAAAAATCCTGTTTACAATCTTAATTAGATTAAGTACCTTTAAACTATATTGGCAAAATATGTTTTTTCTTCTTTGTTTTTGTTTCTTTCTACGAAGAATTTACTATGCAAGGAATTCACTATGTTGCTATGTTAATTTTGATTCTATCTTTTATTTAGGTATAAGCTAATTGGAAACAGATTATTCATATCATAAATAAATACAAAATTAAAATTTAAAAAATTTGTTTAATTACCCCTCTTCCTTAAATTCGCTTGATTTCACCAAACGGGTTTGCTGGTATTGGAAAGTGACATTAGAAAAGGCAACATTTACTTTTAAAATTGGAATGCAGCGTGGTTTTGAACACCATTCAATTTTAACACCGGCATCAAGAGGTTGATCCAGTGTGCCACTTTAATGCTCTACACAGTAATCATACAATCTGAATCAATTTAAAAAACAAGTATATCAAGTAGATTTCTCAATAAAATTGCATTTAGGGATAACTATCTTGCAACTTGCGTGACATGGAAACTATGACATGCTGGAAACTATGAAAACCTAGCATATCATACGTTTATCACTGGATATTTTAAGCCACCATATGGATAGTTTTAGCCAGTATTCGAGCATGGTTTACTATTGTTCCTATCCTTCGTCACCAAGGCTCTACGCCAATAACCACGCCATAACCGCGATCACCTATATTTGATACGGTACGGTATCATATGTATATAAAATGAGCCAATCTGACTCCAACTGCTTAAAATCACAAGCGATGTTTGCTACCTTACTTCTACATTTATTCAAAAAAGGAATTTATTTCACATGTTTCAATGTTTAATTATTTTTTACAATCTCAGTGAAAATAAAAATTACTATATTGTATTATACTCAAAAGTTAAGTTAGGGAAGAAAAAGATACTTATTTGTTTAGAGGAACCATAAAAAAATCGCCTTTTTATTTCTTGACGCCAATGGTGCTAAACTAATTTTGGTAATAGGTTAGTATTGTAATTAAGCATATGATAGAGGTATATATAATTGGTGCTGTTTTTAATAGGTATCAAGAATATTAACGCTACTGAAGAAACTATGGTAATAGGTTTTTTACGATTCGGCAAAAGAGATAATTACCAAAAAAACTTTTCTAATTTTGAGTTTATCATTAGCAATAGCATCATGCCAATTGGTGCAAAATACAGTTAATCTTTATTTCGATGGAATGAACTTTTAAAAATATGTCTTACTTAATCTAATAACGTAAAATCACCAGAATGGAGGGATATTTTGGCTTCATTTATTGTATCGGTATATATCTTTCAGTTTTGTGCATGAGTTCAGAGTACTGATCAAAGCTGAGGATTTGGTTTGTGAAATTAAAATTCGAACTTTCCTGAAAGCTCAATTCCGACTCTAACTTATACTCAATTAAAATATTAATTTTTATGATAATCATCTTTTTTGTACCGTAGCTTAATTTTTGACTGATAATTTACTTGTAATTCTAATACAAAAAGAAAATCTCTATTTTTAGTTTTTATCTACTTTAAGTATCTAGTCTAACCAGAGAAAATAAACAGATTTTTATAAGATTTTAAGATTATGTAATAGAAAAAAGATATAAGATTTTCTTTGCTAGTTATGCTCAATACAAAAACATCTAATCCTGGTTTACTGTCAGTACCAAATCTACGAAGATGAGAAAATATTGGGAAACAAATATAATGCAATTTTTTTAAAAATATTTATGGAGTTCTAAGACAAAAAGGTAAATAAAATAATTAAAAATAATAACACCATTTTTTTCTCACGAAAAATAAATAAATAAAATATTGTATGTGACTTATAAGTAGTGAGTTGGTATAATCTGTGTTAATTTAAGGACGTTATGCTTATTTTATGTAAAGTTTATTTTAAAATGTGTTGAGATAATTTCGTATAAAATATTTAAAAAAAGCTGATTGCAATGACTTTTTATCTGCTTTCTTGAAACAAAATTTCAGAAATACTTGCAATACATTTTAATATTAACTTTATATAAAATGACACACTTTCTGGAAAATTAACTTTGATTTATCAAGTCATTACACGCTATATTTATTTATTACTATTTCTTGAAGAACAATAAATTTTTTAAAACATTTTTTTAATTATTTTACGTTATTGTTTGTTTTTAAATAAGTTCAAAAATAGAAAAAATTTTGATTGGGAATAAATTTTGCAAAAATCGCTTAAAAACAACTATAATTTATAATGGTATTAATCACAGCACTCTGTCTATATTTGAACACTTTAGTGGATTTCAGTTTTAATAGATCCCCTTTATCAATAACTAGATGAACGCCCGTTTTTCGTATGAGGTGAGAAAAAAAAATCAGAAATCAGTACAAAACAACGCTACTAAATCCTTCTCAAAACTGAAAGACGTGTACCAATATCTATTATATATAATTCTCTTACGTGGCTTCCAAATTTTGGCTGAATTTCTTTTCCGCCGGTGGCAACGTTTGCTTTGTTTTGTTTACGTTTTGAAAACACCAAAGCATTCCGCCTTTTAATGATGTGTTTCTGATCTAATATATATAATTCTCTTACGTGGCTCCCAAATTTTGGCTGAAGNATACCTTTTATTTAGGTATAAACTAATTGGAAACAGATTATTCGCATTATAAATAAATACGAAATTAAAATTTCAAAAATTTGTTTAATTAACCCTTTTCCTTAAATTCGCTTGATTTCACCAAACAGGTTTGCTGGTATTGGCAAGTGACATTAGAAAAAGCAACATTTACTTTTAAAATTGGAATGCAGCGTGATTTCGAACATCATTCAATTTTAACACCGGCATCGAAAGGTTGATCCAGTGTGTCACTTTAATGCTCAACGTACTAATCAATCTGAATCAATTTAAAAAACAAAGTAGATTTCTCAATAAAATTGCATTTAGGGATAACTTTTTAAAATAGAACTATCTTGCAACTTGCGTGACATGAACTGGAAATTATGAAAACCTAACCCATCGTACGTTTATAACTAGATATTTTAAGCCAGCATATGGATGGTTTTAGCCAGTATTCGAGCCTATCCTTCGTCACCAAGGCAGTACGCCATTAACTCGCCGTGACCGTGATCCCTATATATGATCGACGTACGGTATCATATATAAAATCAGCCTATCTGATTCCAATTGCTTAAAATCACAAGTGATGTTTGCTAGCTTACTTCTCTATTTATTCACAAAAAGAATTTATTTCGCTTTTTTCAATGTTTAATTATTTTTTACAATCTCAGAGAAAATAAGTATTTTACTTAAAAGTTAAGTTAAGGAATAAAAAGATACTTATTTGTTTAGAGGAACCATAAAAAAATCGCCTTTTTATTTCTACTGGCAATGATGCTTAACTAATTTTGGTAATAGGTCAGTATTGTAATTGAGCATATGATAGAGGTATATATAATTGGTGCTGTTTTTAATAGGCATCAAGAATATTAACACTACTGAAGAAGCTATGGTAATAGGTTTTTTACGATTCAGCAAAAGAGATAATTACCGAAAAAACTTATTTAATTTTGAGTTAACCATTAGCATCATACCAATTGGCGCGAAATACAGTTAATCTTTATTTCAATGGGATGAACTTCTAAAAATATGTCTTACTTAATCTAATAACGTAAAATCACCGGAATGGAGTGATATTTTAGCTTCATTAATTGTATCGTTACAGCTTTGTGCATGATTTCAGAGTACTGATCAAAGCTGAGGATTTGGTTTGTGAAATTAAAATTCGAACTTTCCTGAAAGCTCAATTCCGACTCTAACTTTTACTCAATTAAAATATTAATTTTTATGATTATCATCTGTTTTGTATAGTAACTTAATATTTGGACTGATAATCTAATTGTAATTCTAATACAAAAAAAATCTCTATTTTTAGTTTTTGTCTACTTTAAGTATCTAGTCTATTCAGAGAAAATAAACAGATTTTTATAAGATTTTGAGATTGTGTAATAGAAAAAAGATATAAAGATTTTCTTGTTAGTTTTGCGCAATACAAAAATATCTAATCCTGGTTTACTGCCAGTACCAAATCTACGAAGATGAGAAAATATTGGGAATAAAATATAATGCAATTTTTTTTACAAAGATTTATGGAGTCCTAAGACAAAAAAATAATAAATAAAATAAAATAAAATAAATAAATAAAATTATCAAAAAGAAAAACACAATTTTTTCTCACGAAAAAGTAAGTATGTAACTTATATGTAGCGATTTGATATAATCTGTGTTAATTTAAGGACATTATGTTTATTTCATGTTAAGTTTATTTTAAAATGTGTTGTGATAATTTCTTATAAAATATTTAAAGAAAGCTGATGGCTATGATTTTTCATCTGTTTTCTTTAAAAGAAATATCAGAAATACTTGAAATACACTTTAATATTAACTTTATATAAATTGATACACTTTCTGAAAATTTAAATAAGATTTATCAAGTCATTAATCAATATTTATTTATTACTTTTTCTTGAAGAACAAAAAAATTTTTTAATATTTTTTTAATTATTTTACGTTATTGTTTGTTTTTGATTAAGTTCCAAAAATAGACAAAATTTTGACTGGGGATAAATTTTACAACAACTATAAACAACAACTATATATTTTAAAAACAACTATAATTTATATTGGTATTAATCACAGTGCTCTGTCTATATTTGAACACTTCAGGGGATTTCAGTTTTAATAGATCCCAATTATCAATAACTATAGATGAATGCCCGTTCTTCGTACGAGGTGAAAAAAAATTTATAAGTAAATCAGAAATCAGTACTTAATAACACTACTAAAACCTGCTCAAAACTGAAAGACATATACCAACATAATTAATAAATCTAAAATAACTCCAATTTATTCTATTTTTTGCCCTTGCCGGTAGCTTTACGTT